TATCTGTAATAGTGAAAAACCTATAGTTTCGTAGTAACTGTACACACCCACCCACACCCACACCCCTTCCAAGTCAAAGACCAATAATTACAAATACATCTGAACATAACAATCGATCTTCTCGACGCGAAGCTCAACGAAGACGACGTCAACGACAACGTCACCGAAGGCGAGAAGAACGCGAAGCACTACAACAACAACAAATACAGCGACAAAGACAGCAACAAAGACAACAACAACAACAACGACAACAACAGAGACAACAACAACAACACCAACAACTACTGCGACAGCAACAACAACAAAGGCAACAAAGAGAACAACAACAACAAGTACAGCAACAAAGACGACAACTAAATACACAGCAACGACCTCAACCAAGACATTATCCAGGTCGAACTTTACAACGACAACCGGAACGATATACACGATGGGCCGACTATCTAGGTCAATGGGGATATCATCAAAATCGACGACGACAACGACAAAACTACTATGATAATGAATTATATCCTTCAGATTATATGGAAGAATCAATGGATGAAATGTACAACGATCCACTTTTAGAAGCATATGTGTGGGAAACGATGGATCCAAAGGAACGATGGGAACAAGAACAAATCAATGAATTAGAAAAAATTCATGTCGTCGATCCATTTGAACAATTAACAATTATGCAAGATGAACTCGAACAACTTCAGCAGATTGATCATATTCAACGATTAAAAGAACAAGAAGAACGAATTCGATTAGAGCAGTGGGAACAAGATCAATCAATCGTCATAAAAGATCCTTCTATTCTAACATATATATCACAACTGGAAGATGAAATTGAACAATTAACACAAATCAATGCTCTTCAAACGATCGATCATGAAATGCCTGAACAACAAAACCAACAACAAAATATTTAAGCGATATCTCACATCCATAGATGAACAACATTAGCATTACAAAGTGAACTATTTAATGAAAACTAAACAATCTTCCATATCATTACTGCCTATATATTTCTTTCAAACTAAACTTTCATTATATTGATTTAGAAACATTCTTTTTCTTAAATATCATAAAATAATCAACTACAGAAAACTATAGTTTTGTATATTCTAGATTACAACAACACATTCATCATAACCGATCAAGTACCTTACAATAGATCAACTTTTTACATTATAAGTAGAAAAATAACATTTAATGAAATCATATCAATCTAACATTCAACAACACCATAAATTCCACAAACAACACAACATTCTACAATACATCATACACACTCTCATCAAGGACACTTATCCAGTCTATACGTAAGTCCCCTGATGATTTACTCGTATAGTTAGTAATGAAACCGGTAGTGACACTATAAACATATTACACACCCAGTAATAGTATTGTCTGCTTCACATAAGTCTGCGATATTAGATATTGGAAGTTTATTTATATATTCATTTATATATTTATACTTTTAATTCTACTCAAGGATACTTATGCAGTCTTATAGTCACCTGATGATTTACTCGTATAGTTAGTAATGAAACCGGTAGTGACACTATAAACATATTACACACCCACACCCACACCCACACCCTCAAGATGTCTGGACCGAATGCTTGACAATGTCCAGTTTGTTCATACCTTCACTGACAAATTTGGAGGCATCGTTCGAGTCCTGGAATTTGGCATCTTCCCCCATAGAGCCACTCACATCAATGACACAACAAATATCCACATGTGAACGCTGAGTCACGTTCGAAATAGCAATGGAAATGGCAATAGGGAGAGGGACTTGATCATTGACCCATTCGGCAGCTGGAGCGATTGAGAGAGTAGGACGAGCGGAGGACGAAGATGCACCCTCAGATGCAACGGACAGGGACTGCTGTGCCAAGGACCAATTTCCATCGTCCTCATCCTGAATGAATATGAAAAACAAAAAAGATGAATTGAAGTAAACAGTTGAGTGACAGTGAACAATTCAAAACCCAACCACAAAAAAAAATGTAAACAACCAACCTGTGCCGGTACAACCTCGGGTTGTTTCTGCTCCACTTGCATGTCTTCTCCCACGACTCCACTCTGGAATACTTTGACAATCGAGTTCATGTGTGCACGACAGATGGGACAATTGGCTCCACTGTCGAGCAACATCTTCAAGCAGGACTCACAACCGCAGAGATGACCACATGGTAAGACTACTCCATCCGCTTCTTCGTCCATGCAAACAACACACAATAGTTTAGCAACTTTTTTGTTCGAAGTGGGATTGGCAGGTATTGATGAAGGATCCGGATCTTTGCGAGCCTCAACGACGATGGGCTCCGACAAGATTTGCTGCAAGGCGGACAACCATTCCTCGATACCACCCGCCGAATTGAGAGCAAAGAGCTTGCCAGGGAAAACGGCCAGAATCGAAGCCAAATTCTGCTGGTAAAACCGAAGGCGACCACGGATTTTGTTTTCGTCCAGATCAGTTTCGCGTCGAACGAGACGTGCTGCTACTTCGGCAGTCAGTGCAGGTGTCAGTAGCGTATGATAACTGAGATGACTGACTGGATCAACTCGACGATGATTGATACGATCCACGCACAGTTCGTCTTGCGCCTGCAGGAGAACGACACGATCGACTGTAAGCATTTTGTTCAAGGCCTTGGCTTGATGCACAGTGCGAGGAAAACCATCGAGAAGAATGACAGACGACGCCAAACCATCGGATTGCTGGAGACGACGACTTAAGATGTCGAGCATGATATTGTCCGGGATGAGCTGGCCTCTGTGCACGAAAGGAGCAACACTCTTGCCAAATCGACTGTTTGGGTCTTGCGTTTCATCACGAACGAAATCACCCAATGAAATATGGAGGAAGTTGGGCCACTTGGCGGCAGCGGCGTGTCCCAATGTACCTTTCCCACTGCCTGGAGGACCAATCAGAAGGACGACTTTTTGTGCTGGATTCGACATCTACCAAAAAAAAGCAAAACAAAAACTAGGAGTACACGACTCGCGCTCACGCTCATAAGGAGTGGGCCAGAAGTCCTGCCTCGATTTGTATAATCAATGTTTCTTTAACAAAACCACGGTTGAAAATCCGTCTCTGTACAGGAAAGATGCAGTAAAACACGCGTTACAATAACTTCATCAAAACAAAAGGTTTTTCGATCAGGTGTGTTTTCTCTTAATCAGAAATGGTTGCCCTTCTCTACCTAGTTGCAACATCGAAACTTCGATCGCGCTTTCTGTTTCATGCTGAGTACATTGTTGGAAGCTAGATTCTAGATTTTTGGCGTATTTTTGAAACTTGGATCTCGAGCACACCATCTTCTCTAAAAATACTTTTTACAGACCACGAGAAATAGTACGTTTGAAAATACAAAAGTCAGCTGATTTCTCACTTTTGCTATGCTGCTTTGTGGAAATAATAAGAAAACAAAACGTTCCAGTGAAAATAATACCAAATTTACAAAGTTTTTATTGTTTTCGCCTCGCGTATAATTTGCTTAGTTTCATTGATTGAAGTTCTGGAATTAACGTTTAGGTATGATTTTGTAGAGAATTTCACGGCACCTCTATTAAAAAAAGAAGGGTGTGGGTGTGGGTGTGGGTGTGGGTGTGGGTGTGGGTGTGGGTGTGGGTGTGGGTGAGGGTGGGCGTGGGTGGGTGTAGGTGTGGGTAGGTGTGGGTGTGGGTTTAGTGTGAGGGTGGGTGTGGGTATAAAGGAAAAAGAGGTATCCACACCCCCACCCATTCACACCCACACCAACACCCACACCCACACCCACACCCACACCCACACCCACACCCACACCCACACCCCACCCCTGTCGATTAGAAAATGGTAGTTTAAAATATTCTGCCATGACTAATCGTTGTGTTAAAAGTACAAAGAGCAAAGAATGAATGAAGATAAAAGAGTGATATTTATATAATAGAATGTTGCAAGCATATTGCGAAACTTTCAAGTAGAAAAAAGGAAGAAAAATAAAACGACTCATTAAAACAATAGTAGGTTTCTCTTTCGACGCAATATAGGTTTTTTCATGTTGTATGCTGAAATGGTAAGTGGGAAACCTTTCATATGCAAAATCACAGCAAGGTGTTTTTTGTTGGAAATTTCCAACCAAAAGAAAGAAAGAAAGAAAAATAAACTGTTGCATTGATACAAAAATAGATTTTGCTATTGACGCAACATTTGGAGATTTTTTCATGTTGTATGCTGACTCGATAAATGGTAAACTTTTCATATGCAAAATCACAGTAAGATTTTTTTAGTGAGGGTGTGGGTGAGGGTGTGGGTGTGGGTGTAGTGTGAGGGTGCGTGTGGGTATAAAGGAAAAAGAGGTATCCACACCCACACCCACACCCCACCCCTGTCGATTAGAAAATGGTAGTTTAAAATATTCTGCCATGACTAATCGTTGTGTTAAAAGTACAAAGAGGAAAGAATGAATGAAGATAAAAGAGTGATATTTATATAATAGAATGTTGCAAGCATATTGCGAAACCTTCAAGTAGAAAAAAGGAAGAAAAATAAAACGACTCATTAAAACAATAGTAGGTTTCTCTTTCGACGCAATATAGGTTTTTTCATGTTGTATGCAGACTCGATAAATGGTAAACTTTTCATATGCAAAATCACAGTAAGATTTTTTAGTGAGGGTGTGGGTGGGGGTGTGGGTGTGGGTGTTGGTGTCTCCATCTACACTCACAGCCACCCTCAAGACACACACCCACACCCACACCCACCCACACCCTGTTTCTGCTTGGGTATTCTCATAGTGTTCTTATTAGGGACAAAAATTACTTCATTGTTCTTATTGCGGACACGACTCATAATAAGAACACAGGTGGCTCATTTTCGTAGACCGCTGATTTCTCTGCAACGGAACAACATAGAAGGACAACCCATATACCATCTGAAAGAGGAGACTCTCAAGATTATGCAAATGTAAAAATATTTTCAAAAAGCATGTAAAATAGTTGAAAGCGAGATCAAATACGACGGTGTATTTTTTAGGTGTTCTTATTTGGGACATTGACTGTATATATCCCAAAAGTGAACAAAAAGAATAATTGTCGAAAAGCCAAACGTCGAAGATGAAATCGTTATTGCAAATATCCCTGATATATATAGAATAAAAAGCAATCGGCGATCTTTCTTTCGATGATCTTTATTTCGACGATCTGTCTTTTCGGCAATGTTCATTTTGGCGCGAATTTCTGTGATCTCACTTTTCGGCTATCTCATTTTCGGCGAAGAGCATAGCATTCTTTCTTTCTTCTCACGTTTCTAATCTTCTCTCCTCCCTTCTTCTCTTCTTCCCGCAATTCTTCTCTTTTTTAGTTCTTTTCTTGAAATTTCCTTTCTAGGAAAGCCTTTCTTATCGCCTTTATCCTTCGTTTGATCCTTCTTGTCTTCTCTCTTCGTTCCTCCTCCTTCGGCCTACTCTCTCGATCTCCTTCGACTCCAGGTTCGTCACCTCTCCTTTCAATCTGTGCATCTTTCCCCTTCGTCTTTTTCTTTTGAAATGCATCCCCCCTGGGTTTTTGTTTGTTTGTTTGCTTGTCTTTGTTTGTGGGTCCCCCCCCCTGAAAGCATCTGTTCAGCAAAGAAATCACCTTCTCGTGAACGGTTCTTGGCTTTCTTTTCGAAGTCCCACAAGGAAAAAAGGATTGAAAAGAAAAGAAAAGAAGAAAAGAATGGAAAGACTTGGTTCTTGTCCTCTTTTGGATCTTCGTTCGACCCTTTTCTTGACTCTGCTTTTTTCTAGATGACCCCAAAGACCAAAAACAAGCCGACTGTCTGGCAGTCAGTCACCTGGTACATCTGCTGTGTTAGCTGGGTCCTTGCATACGTGGCCCTTCACCTGCATACCCTCCACCAGCCACACATCTTCCACCCCTGGGTTGTTGGTTTCTACCTGGCTTGGGAGGTGATTCACGTCACTCGCAAGTACGGCACGTCGACCTTCAGCTCCAAGTGGCTCCGAGTTTTCTCGCTCGCTTGGGTGGTCCTGGATCTGCTGGCCATCGGCTTCGGATTGATGAGGCATGGGTACCTCAAGTCTTCCTCGCGGCTTGGTGACATGGTCTACTTTTCTGTTGGTGTTCTCACCATGACCGCCGCAGCTGTTCTTGAGGGCCCGCCGAACCGCAATGCAAAGTATGCATCGATCCCTGTCACCGCCTTCTGCATGTGGCAGGTGACCATCGACACCTTGTATCACCCTGACGAGTACCTCGCTTCCACCTACGTACCAATCGCGTGGTTCATTGCTGTTGGCAACATCTTCGGCGCGTTTGCTACCTGGCACAAAATGCCGTGGGGGGTTTGGGGCAAGCTCTCTTGGATCTTGGTGTCCTTCTTTTCATTGACATTCATCGGCGTCGTCCACTTGCGTTTGGCCAATCAAACCGACTTTGTGGCAGCCAGCATCTCAGCAGTGTATTTCTGGGGTGTGTCATACTCATCACACATGTTCGCGCTCTTGGGGTTTACGATCTTGTTGTGGTATTTTGGTCAGCATACCAGGCCCACACTTCGTCGTCCTCCGCAGCCGTACCACTGGTGGCAACCGCTCGGGCTGATTCGGCTTGCATTGCTGTTCAAGCGTGATACCATGGCTGCGTTGCAAGAGTCGCGGAAGCGATGTGGAGATACATTCTCGCTCCATGTTCTTGATCGCGTTGTCTACCTCACATTCGATCCCGCCATGGTCCAGAAATATGTTTCACGCGAGTGGGCGTCCAAGTTGGACTTTTATGAACCAACTTCAAAGAACATCTCGGCGCTCATTGATGTGCTCGCGGACGTCCAACCCTACAAGACTCTGGCTTCGCAAACCCTACTCAACTCCAAGGTTCTCAGCGAGTGGCAGGAAGGCCCCATCAAGGCAGAGATTCGCCAAGGCCTCGCCAACCTTGTGGACAGGAACGGGCGTGAGGTGGATATTTGCGACCAACTTGGGGTGGTGCTCTTTCGCTCCTTATTGCGAGTCCTTGTGGGTGGAGGCGAGACCACCGATCACGCGCGCGAATTCCAGCAGCGCATGCAGTTCGTGATTTCGAATATCAACAATCCCCTCGTTAGATTTCTACCTCCATGGTGGCCATTTGAGAAAATCCAACGCTTTCATTCCTCCAAGACTTGGTTCGTTGACACGATTCGCAAGGCCTTGAACACGGAGAATACGGAGGGCACCTATCTGTCTCGCATTTCCCGAGACACGGAGAAGGACGCGTTTCATGTTTTTGCCATGCTCTACGGCGCCAATGTCAATACCATTCCAACGGCCATCATCGCCGCTGTGCTGCTGTCCCTGCCCGAGCATGCTGAACTGCTTGAAGAGCTGGTGCACTACCTCGCCGACGTGGAGCGACAGGAAGCAGCCGGGAGTGCCTGGGATCCTTCGCAGTTTGACCTGCTGGACAAATTGCTCGCCGAGACCTTGCGTCTCTACCCAGTCCGAGTTCTCACTCGTGTGACCAAGGAGGACATTGAAGTCGCCGACTACGTCGTGCCCAGGGGCTCGTGGTTCCTTCTCAGTCCCTACTGGCTGCATCGTAACAACGAGGTGTTCCCCGATGCCGAAAAGTTCCATCCAAACCGCTGGAAGTCCGACAGGGACATCCAACAGTTGAAGCACAGCGGCCAATACGTTAGCTTTGGCTTCGGTGAGCACTCCTGCCTTGGTCATCGCCTCGCACGCATCATTTTCAAGATGTTCCTGCGCGAGTTCTTCTCCAGCTATCGACTGCATCTGAAGGAGGGCCAGAGCTATGACATTGTCTACTTCTCCAAGAAGCGTGGCTTCCGTCAGCAAATCGTCGGCGACATCGTGAAACTGAACCACTGACGGAGCCTCTGGAGCAATGATAGAACCTCTTCTCTAGTGATTGTACACCCCTTGTCTTTGTTATTTTCTCTGTCTAGAATAAACCTTGGATTCCCCCTAAAAACGTCGAAAATGAAAATATCGAAGTTAAAAATGCCGAAAATATAAAACATCGAAAACCAAAAAATTCGGAAATTAAAAATGTCGAAAGGAAAAGGTCGAAATAAAAAAGGTCGAAAATTTAAATGTCGAAATAGAAAAATTTTAATTAATTTGTATCGTGTACTAATCCAAGTTGATCAAGTGACTTAACATTTTCTGTATTTTAAATTTATTATTTGTATTACTTAGGGCATACCAAAAGTTCTGGCCACGATATTTTTATTTTAAAAAACCCTAGCTTTTGAAAGTTTTATTGTACCAATAGACACAAAAATGGCTGCTCTACAATACTGCATATATCAATCCTCTTTTGGATTTAATTCTGATATCCATTTCGATAAAGTCTATTATAGAGCGGTCATACCAATTTCTATTAGATCCTTGTATAGTGTTTGAATAAATTCCGGAATATTCTGTGCTGTTATTTTCTTTCCTTTCGTATAACGGTTTATGACGTCATGTTCGAGAACATTATATTTCGATCGTATATAAGTGTAAGAATATTTGTTGTCAATTCATTGAATCTTCAAACAAGCTGTCAAACATGGGTGATGAGTTTAATAGATACTATATCAAAATTTGAACGATTCTGGGAATAGACGCAAAAACAATTTACGAAGAACTCACAGAAGCGTTGGGATCTGATGCTCCATCAGATCGAACAGTCAGAAGATGGCCACAGCGTTTTCGTGAAGGGAAAGAAGATGTCGACGATGATCCACGATCTGGTCGTCCAATCTCCGTATTTACAGATGAAAATATCGAACGTGTTCAACATGTTATTGAAGATGACCCTCATTGCACTTATGATGATATCATAGCTGAGACTTCTCTCACTCGTGGTACTATAGAACGAATTATTCATGACGGTCTAAAGATGAGAAAAATTACATCGCGCTGGGTTGCTCATCAACTTAATGACGATCAAAAACGAGAAAGACTTAGAATTTGTCGTCAAAATTTAGAAAAATTTCGTAATGGAACATGGAAATTATGTGATGTTGTTACTGGTGATGAGACATGGATTTATCACAGACAAATAGGTCGGAAGTCCAGTAACGCTACGTGGGTTAGTGAAAACGAACCACCGAGAACCATTGTTCGTCGAAACAGATTTGAACCTAGAACATTATTTTGTTTATTTTTTAAATCAACTGGTCCTGTTCTCATACATAGTGTACGTAGAGGTCTGACTATTGATCACAACTACTACATTGATAATTGTCTCAAGCCTGTGATCAATGAAGTACGGAATCAAGAAAAATCATGACACTCAAAATTCATCAGACTGCTTCATGATAACGGTTCACCTCATAAACATCGGGATGTGATTGATTACCTAACAGAAGAAGGTGTTGAGATAATACCACATCCGCCATATTCACCAGATCTTTCGCCGTATGATTTTTGGCTAAATGACTACATTAAGAACAATTTGAGTGATCAACCAAACGAAGAGTCACTAGCTGAGGCAGTCTGCGAGGTAGTGCACAATATTCCAGAACAGGAGTATAGAAAGACCTTCGACAAATTATTAGAAAGGATGAAACTTTGTATAAATAATAATGGTGATTATTTTGAACATTTAATGAAATAAAACTAGAGATATGTCCTTCCTTTTATATTTTTATTTGATGTCATCAGAATTTTTGCTAATCCTGAGTATCATAGACTTTATCGAAATGGATATCAGAATTAAATCCAAAAGACGATTGATATATGCAGTATTGTAGAGCAGACATTTTAGTGTCTATTGGTACAATAAAACTTTCAAAAGCTAGGGTTTTTTAAAATAAAAATATCGTGGCCAGAACTTTTGGTATGCCCTAAATAATAACATTATATATTGACGTAAACTCTTGAAATAAAATGAATATATTCAATTTTTTATCTTGAACTGAGGTATTGTATTTACTTTTTTCGGCATTTCTACACTTCGACACTTCTAAATTTTGACATTTTATTTTTCGATATTTCTATATTCTACATTTTTATCGTTCGACTTTTTAATTTTCGACATTATTATAGTTCGGTATTTTTATTTTTCGGCATTTTTTTATTTAATTTTTTCGATATTTTTATCGTTCGACATTTTTCTTTTCGATCAATTTAGGGTTAACCAAACCTTGTCTCTCTTCATTAACACCTTGAGAATCGTCGTAATTCTCGACAATCAAAAAAGAAAGAGAGAAAGAAATAGGAAAGGAAAATTGAAAACGAAAAAAAAACTTTTCTCTTGTTGACACATATGGTTCAAGGCAATCAAGGACCAAGAGTGATGAGCAAATCTTGCGGCGAAACGTTGGGTTTATCCATGGTTGGCGTGGTGGTGGCTTGGATGTGTGGCCTGTGGTGCTGGAAAAGGACAAAGAGAAAGAGTAAAATTTCATACTTGACAAAAAAGCGACCTGGACACCGGCGGATTCCTCCACCAAAGGGAGTGAAGCCAAGGGGGAAAAAGCGGATCCCGTCTATCCGGGATACGGTCACAATCCATAGGATCTATAGGATACAATGGGGATCCAGAGGATCCAGCGGATACAATGAGGATCCACAGGATACAATGGGGATCCATAGGATACAATGGGGATCCAGAGGATACGATTATAATCCAAAGGATATATGTAAAACTAAGAATATAAAACTTGATTGAATGATGAAAATATAAAATCTACACAATAGAAATCATGGGAGTAATGGCAGATTACTTTTGGTGAACGTCTTCCATTGATATTAAAGAATTTGAAGTATTTCTTATTTATATTTTTTGAAGCTAAGTACGTCGTCTTGTGCAGCACGATAAATTTAATTTAAAAACAACTATTAAAATATTATAGTAACTAATTATTCATTTTCTGACGTTTAATCTATGTATGCGCAAGATATTCCGAGGAGCCAAATAATATAAGAACGAAAAAATAATAATAAATTTCTATTTCTCTGTTTCACGCATAATATCTTTCTTTACATATCATCTCATCACGTTTATAATATATTCATATTACGATTCTTATTGTATAATGCCACCATTAAAATTGAACATGGATATTACAGTTCTTCCTCCAGATGTGTTATCATTATATGATGAACCTTTCTATGAATTAGTTCGTAAATTAGCTGGTTCTGTCGAAGCTAAATTACTTCAAGTACAAGGTGTTCGTGGTGCCTATTCATTGATACATATCGAAGATGTTTTTGATATATTAAAATATAAATGTAAAGAATTGGATGAAATTAAAAAAAATGCTTGTCTGGTATTGGAGGATAATCAATATATTGTTAAACCTGGGTGTAAAAGTAATTTACGATACTTTACTCAATTACTCATTTTAAAAAATCAAGAACACTTGAAAACAATTGGAGTTCGAATAAAATCAAAGCATACATTAAATGATGTTGATAATAATAATACATCTACATCACAATTATCAGCACAAGTTCTTCCTGTTTCTTCACCAACATCACAAAATACAACAGCATCACAAGATACAACAACATCACAAGATACAACAACATCACAAAATACAACAGCACCACAAAATACAATAACAACAACAACATGTAAGCATATAAAATCATCTAGTACAACAGATTATCCTATTTCAATTTCATAGATTTTAAACAGTTGATACTTCTCAAAGATTTTAAAAGAGAAGTTACTTTTTTCGATAAAAAAAACTCGAAAGCAATTTAGATATTTATTTTGTATTGTTTTTATAATAAGAATTGTACCGCATATTATTTCCCATATGTAGCTTGTGACTAGTAATATGTTGAAAATTACATAAAAATTATTTTGTATTTATTTTACAAATATATTATCTATTAGATTTGGTTGTTTTTTTTCGTAAGGAATATGTAACAGAAATTATGAATAGTATAATAGAAAGCATCCTAATTGGGAGTACTCATAAACAAATCAATCATAAATAATATTTTTCATTTAAAAATTATATATATACATGTATAGGAATATTACGTATATTATCAGATAGAAAACCTACTAGTAACAATAAATGATATTTTTTATTTTCATTTAGCGCAAATGAATGAATCGAAACATCGTGCTTTTCTTACTGCATCTTTGGATGAGTGGTTTATTAAAAATACGTCAACATATAATTTTTCTAACGAGAAATTTGTTGAAGGTAAAGATTATAAGCTAACCTTAATGCTTACTCAAACGTCCGAAGAAGCAATTATATCTTGTGCCTGTGGCACACGAATCAACTTATCAAAAGAACGAATACATTTTTCATTAAGCAACTATTATAAACACATTAAAACATCAAAATGTACGGTGGCGAAGAACAAACGAAAAATCATCTCACACAACTCGAATAATGAAGATATTGTATCAACTCAACAACAAACATTAGATGATGACGTTGTAGACATTTCTACAACACCAAAACCAAATATTGATAATAACAACAAACAACCTAATTCTTCATCTAGGAAACGCATAAAATCTGGTTCTCTTGATGAATCATCGAAAAAGACTCAAAAACGTTAACTCAAAACTATTACTAGTTTTTTATTTTAGAAAGATTTATCAGGTTTTTATAATTAATATTGAACTTTTATTCTTATGTGATATCTCATTTTTTTATGGTTATTATTAATACATTTTTTTTGTGGTTATTATTAATACTTTTTTAGTGGTTATTATTAATAGAAATAAAATAAGACTGAAATAATAGGCAAAGGTGGAAAAAATAGCAATGGTTTAATTCTTTATTTTACATTCGCTGGATAAAATTAACTATTCACGCACATTTTATTGTATAGTTAGTATCTACATTATATAACTGTTCAAAAGCTGATTCATCTTATAATGTTCGATATATCTTTTATTCTAATCAACATATATTGTAATACGTTCATTCATCAACTGTTTACATCTATTATATATTTACTCGGTCGTGAGTAGTCGCACTTAAAGAAAAACAATAGTACGCATGAGTTCACTTTTTAAATTCAAGATATTTCAACAATAATTTATTATTTTCTGTCCTGCTTATTTATTTATTCAATTTATGTTATACTTCCAGATTGTTTATTATTATTTACTAGATTATTTTTGTTCATATATTTTGATCAATTACATTTCATATATTCAACGAATTTTGCAGAGCAAGGTAAATTTATTCTCTATTGAGAAGAAAAGCTGTATCTTATTTTAAAACTTATATTGTAGAAAAAGAGAACAAATATTTCGTCAAGAATGTATTCACCTTTAGAATTACCAGACGATGTTCTTGATTATCACGGTAAAAATTTTTATGATTTAGTTCGTGAAAAGTGTGGAGAAATTATAAAAGATTTTATGGAAATACTCTATATTGATTCTGTCAAAACATTACTTGGTGTTGAAGATGATATTTTCTCTTTGTTAAAAGAAAATTGTAACGCTTTAAAACATATAAAGGAACAAGCGTGTCTATGTCTAGATGATGGAAAAATTGTTGTTAAACCAGGTTTACGCCTGGACTTTGATCGATTCGTTGAAGCTTTGCGCGTTAAAAGTATTCAAAGTCACTTATTACAGTCAACAACAATATCTTTCGATAACAATTCTTCTTTGTTGAATACAATAACAACGTTCAACCATTTTGAAAAGAATAATAATTCTTTCCTGAACCAGCTATTCAATAATATTGCAAGTAATAAAATAAAATCGAAGAACAATTATCGGTATAATGCAAAAGTTCAAAATTTCGCTCAAGCATTATATATTATGGGAGGACGAAATACATACGAGTTTTTTCGTTTGAATCTGCCTGGTGCAGTACCATCAATTACTTCAATTGATAGTTATATTACAAAAGCGGGAGGTACGATTACAGAGGGGGAATTTCGATATGATACTCTACGTCAGTTACAAGCTGTCAATGATTATCAACTTGCTATTTGCTCCGAAGATTGCACAAGCGTGATCCAGAAAATCGTATATAATGCAACTAGTAACACATTCATTGGATTCTCAACACCACTCAATCACGGAATTCCTGTGCCTCAATATTTTCAAACTGACTCGTACGAGCTGTTGGAAGAATGGTTCGAGAATAATAATAAATCAAGTCTTTTAAACGTTCATATGTTGGAGTTGCTCAGTGTGTCAAAATATAATTCATATCCATTTCTCTTAGGAGCGTATGGGATTACAAGTCAGTTCAATTCAATCGATGTTCTTCGTCGTTGGTTGTGGATATTTGAACAATCTCGACTTTCAAATATTCGAATACTTGTCTTTTCAACTGACTGTGATGCAAAGTATTTGCGAGCTATGAGGCTCATTACAGAGTTTTTTGCGAAGTTACCTAATATACATGTGAGTGAGCGCAGTGATGCGTTCGAAGTGAAGTTACCAAAACAATGGTCTAACTGGTTTTTCATGCGAACACGACAACTATGTTTTTGTTTTCAAGATCCGGTGCACTTGTGCACCAAGATTCGCAATCGTCTTCTTTCTCAATCCGCCTCATTGATAATTGGAGAAGGAAAAGTATCAACTGATGTGCTATTCGATGTGATTAACAATCAGTCCAAGCTAATTCATGGACTAGTAAAAACAGATATTTATCCAAAAGACAAACAAAATTTTGGTTCATGTATTAAGATCTCGAGTGTTGATGTTTTGTCGGCTCTTGAAGGTGTTTCTGGTTCATATGCTACACAAATCTACTTAAGACTACTACGTAGTATTATACTGGCTTACATTGAAAGAAGTACATCAATTCTCAATCGTTTGTATCATAGTTGGTTAACAGTTTTTATATGTCGACTTTGGTGGAGTTGGTTGTTGTTAACTGATGTAGAAAAACTCTCTACTGACTATCAAGACAATACGAAAAATGCATTTTTTATCACAAAGGCTGCTTATCATTCAATCGAAATAAACGCTCACACGTTACTTTCAATCGTTCTTCTGGTTTGCCAACATGATTTGCCTGAATCTGCTCTATCTATATCCAGTTTTAATTCACAGACTTGTGAGAATATATTCAGATTAACACGATCTATGTCTGGTACTTTCTCATCAAATGTAAATTTTACAGTTGATCAATTTCTACGACGTGCTGGTAAACTGTCTGTCTTGCAAGATATTGAAAGACAACATGAGCATGATGAATCTGGATGTTCTTTAGAATTTCCAAAACATCATAAACGACGTTACAAAAAAGCTGCATCACCAAATAATCATTCACAAGATGTTAGTGATAATTTAACACACGATACTATTCAAAACGCCATTTTTCGTGCCTTTAATGATGCATATAAAATGTTATCTGTACTTGATATTGATAAAACATTAAAAAAGTCACACAAAAGTACTTTGAATGAAATAAGTACATTTGTTCGAGTTCAAATCGAACGAAAATCACATACGACTGATTATAGCGAGAACTGGGACGAATACTCAGATGAAGAATCCGATTCTGAACAAGTAAATACGTCTGATGATTGTTATGTAAGTACAGAAAGTTCTTCCGAAGATGAAACGGAAGAGTTACTTTCTAATTCTAATCAAAAAGCATCAGAATTTAAAGGAATAAGAATTTTTAATGAAATTTCCAGTTCAAAAGTCAATTCATATTTTCGTATTAAACACGATGGGAACAAAAAATATATGCACAAGCAGACTGCTTGCTGGCTCCTCACCGACAATAAACCCACACTTTCGGCTGATCGACTTCGTCGTGTTCAGCAATCAAAGAACTAGTGTTACATAAGAATGTGACACTGAGGATTTGAAGTGTATAATGTATTTGTATATATGATGTATTTGTGTGTGTGCGTGTGATGTGTTTGTTTGTGTGATATGTTTGTGTATATGATGTGTTTGTGTGTATGATCTGATGGTATTTATGATGTTTTCAGCATCTATGTAAAATGTTGTGTGTATATGAAGTATGTAATTGTTGTGTGTGTAGTATAGATTTGGATGTTGTGTTAATTATGTATATGATATATAGTGTATGAGTGTGTCGTACGAAATTATAAAAAATCATTATTTGTCTCGAGGTTTAATTACATAACATCTACAAATATCAGATGTAGGGGACATTTTTGTTTTACTTCTATCGTATGAATGAAAAAATGGAAATTTTTCGTCTTTATACGACCAATTTCGACCAGAAGAGGAGGAACATGTTGAATTAAAACTAGACAAGAACATGAAACTTGAGATTGTAATTCCAGAAACTTTAAAACTAGGCAAATATGAATTTAGTAACTACATAAATTTACTTTTAATTCATAATAAATCAATAAAAATTAAAATAATATAAAGAATAGCATAAAGCTATTAATAATAAAATCAAAAAAAAATTAAAATAATATAAAGAATAGCATAATGCTATTAATAATAAAATCAATAATAATTGATATAAATTCATCAACAACAACAATAATAATAATTGATTTATTCCTAGTACTAGTTTAACATAAACATATCACTCAAAGCTGAGTTCTACTTGTTTTATATTATCATGTTCTTATTATTTTGGTTGAAAATAATTGTGTAAAGACTGAAAATCGTCGTTTTCTTATTTATATTAGAGAAAAAAATTTCTACATTTGATACTTATACATGTGGTGGAAAAATAATATTATGATACTTTTTTTGTTGATTTCTAACGTATTGTTAATAAAATGAACATGAATGAACTTGCGCTGCTCGACACAGTGGTCCTGACATCCATCTGACTGGTGACATGTTATGATTTCTGATGTCGACAGTAGACTTTTCTTTATATATTTGTTTTAACTTGAAAATCAAATGCTTATAATGTAGAGTCAGATGAGGCTAGTTCGTTTGTTAGGGTGTGTAGTATACAAAAAAAATACATAGTCGTTGAAAGAAATGCTAAGAACGCAATGAAAGTATAAAACAGATCTATTGAGGATACGGAGGATCCATTGAGGATACAAAGGATCCATTGGGGATCCATAGGATCCATTTGGGATACGGAGGATCCACAGGATCTGTTGGGGATACGGAGGATCCAGAGGATCTATTGGGGATACGAAGGATACGGAGGATCTCGGGATCCCGGGATCCGCTTTTTCCCCCTTGAGTGAAGCCCAGTGGAGAAGAATCGTGCTCGAATCGCTCGGGACGAAAACTCTCCGCAGCTTCAAAGACGCGCGGGTCATTGAAAACCCCAGTCCAGCCACATATGATTCGCCAGCCGGCTGGCACAACGACTTCACCAACGCGATAGGAGGACAGGCGAGGATTAATCCCAAAAGAAACGTGAGTGGCAGGCGGGCGCATCCGAAGAGTTTCGTACAAGACACACTCAGTGTACTTCATGGAACGGATAGCTTCCCATATGGCATCAGATGAACTGCTGTCCCACTTGTCCGCGCAAAAGCGAGTTGCCAGTGCCTCGACCTCTTGTTGAACAAGTTGCTTCACCTGGAAAGTAGTATTATTTGAGCAACGAGTGACAAAAAAAAATGACTCTTACCTCAGGGTGGGTTCCGAGGAACGCCAAAATCCATGCCAAGGTGATGCGAACCGGCTCAAATCCCGCAGCCCAGAGCATCAGCAGGTTGTCAACAATGTCATCTTCGGGCAGATCACTTTTCGCAAGTCGGAAAAGTACTGACTCGGCGTCGTCGCCATTGTTCGCCCGGCGGCACCTGCGAACTCGAAGCCGAAGACGCCGCTCTAACTCCTTCTTGGCTTGTGTGCCTTGGAAATACGTGGTTCCAGGAATATTCCACTTTCTCGTGGCCTTGAGCCCCGTGAAATGCTGGTGGAATAGCCTCAGGTACTCTTCTAGCTCAACAGCAGTCAGCTGCGTTCCCAAGATTATCACAGAGACCGCAGCCAGCCCAAACTCCTTCAACACCGATATGCATTGGCCAGCGCCACACCCATCCAGCCGCCGCGCGTAAGCAGCACTCAAGGTAGAAAGGGTGTACATGTGCCGGCGGAAGGAATTGAAGTCCATGGCATGAACAACTGCGAGCTTTCGAGTCTTGTGCTCCTCGCCAAAAAGGAACTCAAGGCTGCGTTCGCCACGCAGAAACCGCTTCTGGGTGTTGGGAAAGCGGTCAAGCACCGACCCGACATCGTCAAAGATCTGCCGTATCTGATCAGGACTCTGAACAACAAGATGCATGACACCATTTTTCCTGAACGCATAGTTCCCAGAACCCGAGTGCTTCACAAGAAACGCAAAGGGGTCCTGACTCCAGGTGGCATTAGAGACAATGGGAACGGTTGGCTCCAAGTCCAGTCCAGGACTTGACTTCCTCTTCTCGCGATGGAGGGCGAAGAACCACAAGCCACACAAAAAGCAGCCCAATGCGATCAGTGCAGCAACCTCAAGATTGTTCGAACCTTCAGATGTGATGGAAGTCCAGTGACCTTGCAGGAGGAACACGACAGCGCAGGTAAACAGAGACAGCAAGACGAATAAGAAGAGCTGGCCCAAGATAGTTGGCTTGAGATCAAGCATGCTTCCAGCAAAGGGGATGATTTTCACAAAGATGAGAAACGGGTCAGGGTGGAGTCTTGAAAGAGAGAGAGAAAGAGAATGAGAGAAGTCGAACGAAGAAGGAAGAACGACAAAAACGCAGTGTAACTCTTCCACGGGCCACTTGTTTTTCTCGTATTCGTGTAAAGAAAGAATGAATGGATGAATGAATGAACAAAGAAAAGAAAAGAAAAGAAAAAGAAAAAAAAAGAACAGAAAAGAAAAAGAAAAGAAAAGAAAAAAGAAAGAAGGAGCGACGAAAAACGCTCCTTCATTTTCTTCTCTTTTCTTCCTTTTTCTTCAATGGAGGTTGATAGTCCTGTGCAGAAAAGCAGGGAGGGTGTGAGGGTGTGGGTGTGGTGTGGGTGTGGGTGTGGTATGAGGGTGTGAGGGTGAGGGTGAGGGTGTGGCTGTAGGTGAGGGTGGGTGTGGGTGGGTGTAGGTTTCAGTATGGGTCTGGTGTGAGGGTGTGAGGGTGTGGGTGTGGGTGTGGGTGTGGGTGTGGGTGTGGGTGTGGGTGTGGGTGTGGGTGTGGGTGTGGGCGTGGGTGTGGGTATAAAAGAAAAAGAGGTATCCACACCCACACGCATTCACACCCACACCCACACCCACACACATTCACACCCACACCCACACCCATTCACGCCCACGCCCACACCCACACCCCACCCCTGTTGATTAGAAAATGGTAGCTTAAAATATTCTGCCATGACTAATCGTTGTGTTAAAAGTACAAAGAGCAAAGAATGAATGAAGATAAAAGAGTGATATTTATATAATAGAATGTTGCAAGCATATTGCGAAACTTTCAAGTAGAAAAAAGGAAGAAAAATAAAACGACTCATTAAGACAATAGTATGTTTCTCTTTCGACTCAAGATAGGTTTTTTCATGTTGTATGCTGAAATGGTAAGTGAGAAACCTTTCATATGCAAAATCACAGCAAGGTGTTTTTTGTTGGAAATTTCCAACCAAAAAAAAGAAAGAAAAATAAACTGTTGCATTGATACAAAAATAGATTTTGCTTTTGACGCAACATTTGGAGATTTTTTCATGTTGTATGCTGACTCGATAAATGGTAAACTTTTCATATGCAAAATCACAGTAAGATTTTTTTAGTGAGGGTGTGGGTGAGGGTGTGGGTGTTGGTGTCTCTTCATCTACACCCACACCCACACCAGACCCACACCCACATCCACACCCACATCCACACCCACACCCACATCCACACCCACACCCACACGCACACCCACACCCACACACCCACACCCACACCCATCCCATGTCATGAAAATCGTGTTTAATCATCGATTTTAGTAATCAATTATAAACTACAAACATAAATATTTCAGAATTTATAAATTGAAGAGTGAAATATAATTACAGACGTTTAAAACAAAAGAAAAGACTAGATTTGACATGAACGATATTGGATAATTTCAAAAATGATTGTACTAAGCCTCGTCAACTCAACTATTCGTCTCAAAACGTTAATTGCGACAACCTGTAGTTTATTTTATATGATTCTATATTAATCTATAACTCCACCTCTCATTTATGTTTTTTTCATTCTCTTTTTCGAGATTGAAATTTTATGAGCGAAGATAAATACGCATAGAAGTCTTTCACAAATAAACAAAAACAACTCATCCATTTTAAAGAATTTCTTAATCTTTTTTTCGAATTTAGTTTTTCATCATTCTATCAAATTGTATATAGAGTTATTATTTATCTATTTTGTTACATCATTTCTATGTATAAATTAATGTGAACATTCAATTTTATAATAAAAATATTGATCAATTAATTAAATCAGTAATAAGACCTTCTAATTTTAACAGTAAAATAAAAGTTCACGTGAAATAATCGACGATTGACTACTAATTTTGAGTACGTGAAATAGCTTTCTTACAACTAATGTTAATTGTAATTGATAAAAAAATTGCTTATTACACAAACAAAATTAAAAATTAAGTTTAAAAATCAAGTGAAAAAATTTCATATTAGGTATGTTCTGTACTAATCAACATGATTTGTTTTCAAATTTTAAAAAAATCTCTCGTATGTTGGATAGTTTAACAGCAATAATCATAAAACAATATAAGAATTTTGTAATTCATTCATATATAGATTTAGATAAAGATTTTTAATTAGAAGTTATTACATAAAAATGTTTTCTTACTGTAAAATAACTATTTAATTCATTTAACTTTCTTACTAATATTATTTGGTTTAATCTATGAAAAAGCTCAAAGGAATTATTTTATGTTAAAAGAAAAGAAATTAAACTGACTCTTTTTAATAAAAATCTTACCTAAAAACTATAGAAATCTTTAAAAATAGATAAAAAAAGAATTCTCACTCGCAAATAATCGATTACATCGAATTTCCATAATAATAAAATATGTCTATAGAGAAATATTCAACGTCTACTACATGTGTATTCATTTTCATATTCTTTATTTCTTCGTCGTTCAAAAAACGATATTTGTGACGAAATGTTTTTTTTCTTACGTTCTTCATAAGTCATAATTTTTTTTATCCTTGATAAATCTATTCAGAAATAACTACATAAAATTAACTAACAAATATTTTCACATTTTCAGTATAGTTATCAATAGGAATTCTGTTTAAATCAAAATATAGAAGAAGAACAATACAAAAAATTCTTCGTTTATGATTTAATATTTTATTGTGTTTTTCTTTTATTTAAAACTATTCTTCAAACTTTTATCAACTATTGATCATTCTTATGATTAATTTATGCTCGTTCTATTTAGTTTTATATCGAAATATCGAAAAATTCGTTTCAAAATAACAATTTTCTTTTAATATCAATGTCAAATAGACAATAAAGACAATCTATACTCATCCTCAAATGATTAAATATTAACATTATATCAACAATTGTTCACTATCTTTTATCGAATAAAATAAATACTAAAAATCTTCATATTCAGTTTATGACATTAAAATCCATGATGATAGTGATAGATGAAATATTTCTATTGATATAATCAATCATTACATGAACCTTATTTTCAATTTCATTTAATATCTAAATAACACAAGAAAAATCTAGAAAATATTTCGATAAATCAATTGAACGGATAAAATTCTATGTTTATATCACAATGATCATTATTTCAAATATTTTATTAAATAAATATTTGTTCAATTTATTTTCTTTACTCCTAAAGAAATTATGAAAAGTAATAAAATGTTTCTGTTTCTATTCTTTTATTTTATCTCTTTCTATACTAGTTGATCACATATGATTATAACACAAAGAAATATCAGACAGTATTATTAGGATTGAGGGTGGGTGTAGGTATGAATGTAAAAGAAGAAGAAGAGACATACATCGGCACCCACTTTCAAGATTTTGTTATGTTTCAAAGTAACATAGTAGGGCTTTCGATCTATAATTAAAGTTTTTATTAAGTCAAAATTATAAAAAAAAAGGTGAAAAATATCAACGAATATCTTATTTTTTCTCTTTTCTTTCGAGTATGAATGAATATTGCGATGCGATCGAAATACATTCTTTTTCTTACATTGCAATGCTTATCAATAGTCGAAACAGAACGAAACGAAAAAAAAGAGAAGAAAGGAAAAGAAAAGAAAATATAAAATATGATGATTACCCTTTAATAAACTATTAGATTGGGTTTTGTTAATATTTAATGGTTGATCAGATGAAGTTATACGAAAAACTGTTTTACCCATAACTTGACCAGTATTACATCTTAATAATGCTTCTATTACTTGAGATGGTTCATAAGCTACTGTTGGTTCAACAGCACGTAATTTACGTTGAATAAATAAATCAATTGCTTCTTCAAACATAAGACGAGTAAATGTGATACATGATCAGCAAGTGAAATAAAATCTGATCTTAATTAAAACATTGATAAATTGCTATTATGATAAAAATCTCGTATTCACTATTCAACGAAATGACTATGATATGATAATAATTTAATTGATTCTTTTAGTAAATTGCTCGATAATGAATTAATAATAACATCAACACCTTGTGGAAGAATTTCACGTATTTGATTAACGAAAGAAGTATCTCGACTATTGAATACATGTTCAATGCCATAATATTCATGAAGAAAACATCGTTTTTCTTCAGTTCTATTTATAGCAATAACACGAACACCAATATATTGGCGATATTGAGTACACAGTTGACCTGCAACACCTGTTGCAGCATGAATAAGAACAGTTTGATTAGGTTGTAAATAAACACGATATTTAAGAGAATAGGTAACTGTTAAAATTGAACATGGTAGACCACATAATTGTTCATCAGTAAGAGGAAAATCAGATGAAATACGTATTATAAGTAGTGAATTAATAATAATATGAGAATGATATGTACCATCACTAGTAACATCTACAACATGATCATTAACTTGAAAGTTAGTTTTAAGACATGCACGTACAATAGTCCTAACAAAATCTGAACCTGATTCTGTATCTCGATTAACTTTTGGTTGATTTTCATCAGATTGTGCAAAAGTACGTATATATGGATAAAGACCACGCGATTCAAGTACATCACGAAAATTAATACTAACACAATGAACACGAACTTCTACCATATCTGATAATAATTCTTTTTCTCTCTCTTCTTCAATCCATGTTAATTGAGAAAGAAAACGAGATGGTGATACATAAAGTCAAAATAACTTTTGATCTGCATCTCGTTTAGGAATAATAGAAATTTGTTCGTATTTAGATTTCTCTTGTTCATTATTATTTTGTAACATTTCATAATGCCATGTTAAATGTTGAACTTGATTTTGATTTGTATCATTAAGAAAGAAGAACAACTTGATAAGTATCAGTTGAATATTTTGAATTAATCATATATTCTATCAAAGTATGAATAAATATTAATTTATTCTTCAATGATGTTTGAAGATCAATAAGTTTTAATCGATTTTGTTCATATTCAGTTATTAAACTTCGTTCAAGACCAATAAATGGTGATGCAATTATATTAAGATTAGAATCATTATTAAATAGAGCATGATCTATAAGAACATATAGAAATGGATGAAAATGTGGTGATGATTTTTGAATTATTTGAAGAATACGTGATAATGTTCCATAGATAAGTTCTTCATTTTGTTTAAATACTAAATTATCATTATTTTCATTCAATGATACTTGATCAAGTTGCCATGCAAAAATAATAGATACTTGTTTATAACTAGTTACTAGAACTGATATTACAGAACAAATAATATCTAAAACTGAATTATGAATATGAAATATTTTAATATTTGAACATGGTAACAATGACTATAGAATATTATTATTATCATCTTTAATAAATATTAACCATAACTGATTTTTTCTTTCATCAAGTCTTTGTAATATTTCCTTAGATATTGTTTTTTGACTAATAATTAATGTGCTTTCATTTTGGTTTGTTGTTGATTCAATAATATGAAATCCTTCGATTTGTTTTAATAATATCACCCATTGTTGGATATTCTTTAATGCACGATTATTATCATCAGATGATGACCACCATTGATCAAAGAAACAAAAAATAAGATCAAAATAAAGAGGAACATGATCTAAGTCAAGTAATAAAAGAAGACCATTAGGAACAAGTAAACGACGAACATCAATTAAAGAATTAGTCAAATCTTGATTTCTTAAAAGTTGATTGGAAGAAAATATAATATCAAATAATTCCATTGGAATTATTTCAAGTGTTTTACTATCATATAAATCAATTGTTTGATTATTTATATGTGTATTAAATGTTTGTTGAGCATTTGCAAGTTGTATCCAGTCAAAATCTACGTAATGTAAATCAATTAATAAGCCTGCTTGTTGTGATAAATTAAGAAAAAGATCAAGAATAGGTAAAACATCCAGACAATCACTATCAGTTAACCAAAATATACGTAATCGATAATTCTCAAATGAATTATCTTTCGTTTGTTGTGTTTTAGTTGCACTTATAACAATTCTAATTTGTTGAAAAGTTAGTCCAATTTCATCATCACCAACAAATCTATCTAATCCATTTTTTTCTTCACTAAGAATATCTTTTAAATGTAAATCATATTTATTTAATATGATTAAAAATGGTTTTAAATGAGAAAAACGTTCGCACAATTGAATAAGACGAAGTTGTGTTGAATGCCATGTTACTTCTTTATGTAAAGTTGAAGCAAGAGAACGACATGAATTTAATAATGGATGATGTTGTTGATTTAAATCAAGATCTTTAATTCTCATTTGAGCATAATAAGCAGCTAATTCATTAAATGGTTCTATTGATTCAATTAAATTTTTGATTACTATTGGAATTAAGTTGATTATTAAGAATTTGATTAGATGATGGAAGTAAATGTGATATATCTTTTATTATTGGTGAATCAGTCTATACTCTTTTCATACAATAATCTTTTATAATTGAATCTAAATATGTTTTATGAGCAATATTAGGTAAATCAGTTGTTAGATTTAATTTATCATAAATTGTTTTTTCCATTGACCATCGACCATCGACCATCGACCAAATTGTACACCTTGAATTTATTGAATAACAGCATCTTCAAATGTAAATATTGGTTCTTCTATTTTATTATCCATTGGAAATATCCATAAATCAAGACTATATGTTTCTTCTTGATCTATACTACATATATTATCATGATACTTTCCACGTACTTCAACATTTGTTGACTGACTCATTTTGTTTTTGTTTTACTTGAATAAATAAATTTTTGTATACTTACGTAATGTTTTTATTTTTTCAAAACTAGATCCATATTGATAATCACGTGTTGAAAGATGTGCATAAGCACTTGGTATATGTTGTTTTGTCCATGTATTAGGTATTGTTCATGATTTTTGTTCTTTAAAATCTATTTCAGTTTTACTTTGCTCATGTAAACTAAATTGATTTAATGAATATTTATTAAGATTATCTTGATTACAAAATATAATATACTATTCACGCATTGGCATAATTATTTGTATAAATACTTCAACTAATTCATGTTTTATTCAAAATAAGTACTTTAACAAATTTCAATATCTTCAAAAATAATTCTTGGTTGTTGTTGATCATCTTCTTTTTGGAAAAGTAATTGTTGATAAGCAGCTGTTGCAAGTTCAAGATAAGCAACTGCTGGAAAAAGAATTGTATCTTGAATTTTATGATGTTTTAAGAAAGAATGTTGTGGTAAATTAATATTAATAAGACTTTTCCATGTTGCATTTGTTTGATCATTGAATTGACGAATAGCAAGTAATGGATGAGTAGATATACGATTAGCTAAATGAAATTTATATGATGGAAAATTATCAAAATATTCTTCATGATTTTTCAACGGTGAAATTTGACGAGTATGAAGATATTGTTGCCATGCTTGAGATAATGTTGTAAGTTGTGCTATACTAGGAAGTAATGTTATTTGTTCATTTTCTTTTCTTTTTAATGTTGAAAGAATAAGTGGTTGATTATTGTTGTTGATTTGTTAATTCATAACATTCACTAACACATAAAATCGAACAGCTTGTCTTACATTTGACTATCAACTGATATATTATCATTGATTTTATCATCAGTAACACTTGAATAAAGTTTTGCTTGTGTATATATCGAATTAAATATTTGTTTTTGATCTTTTATTGAATATCCACGCATATCTTTCAATGTGAAAAATGAAATGCATCTTCAATACGAACACATGCTTTAAATACATTTGGATAAGAGATTGAAAGTATTTGTTGTATTTCATCACCACTTATTCTTACTGAACGAAAACTATTAATAACAGCAATACAAGCCAAATGTTCAATATCTTTAAGAAGTTTATTTTCTACATCTCCTTTACTCATTGGAACAGCTAACATACGAACAGTTTCTTCTAAAGTTAATCAGTCAGCAACAAAAGCAGCTGCTTGATCGCCAGCACTATGTGATATAATTGATGATGGATAAATATTTCATGAAACAAGTCTAATGAAGAATGATTATCTGTATCGTTGATAATGCACATCATACAATCATCTCAATCAGAAGTATTTTCTCAAAAATCAAGTATATAGGAAACAAAATATTACAATCTTCAATTAATATAAATATTAACTTGTTCAGGCACCAAATCCACAACATCTTTTTCTCAAAACTTTAAATATTACTTGTTAAAATCAAAGAGAAAATATTCAGATGTAGACACAAAGAAATTAAAACAATGTACAAATCTCTTTTTTCTAAAATAACATCCTGAATACTCTGTAGTTTATAAATTCAATTATCATTCTAAGAAAATGATGAAATTCAGTTTTGTTGAGATTCGTAGTTTTAATAACAGCCTATGGAGATCCGAGAAAATAGCTTTCTATGATTTTCTCTAACATTTCATAATAGCACAATGTGAATTACGTTTCTGTTCATCGAGTTGTTACCGATAGGTCTTTTTTTTTTGTATGTTATTTTGGGTATAAGAGAGGCAGGAAAGGAAAGAAAAGAAATAACAAATCTGTCTTAGAGAAAAGAAAGGAAAATAAGATACATATTCTATCTCATTCATACATTAGAAGAGAAACGACCACAGAATAATTTATATATATCGTTTCTTTCAAACTATTCTTTTTATTCAACATATGTAATGTTATCATATAATTTTATTTTATTTATTATAATATTCATAAATATATTTCAAATATCCAGCAATAAATCATCATCTCTTTCTTTACAACATAACTCATTTAGTCAACAGAAAATTCTACCAAAAAGCAAAATAAGGAATGATTTAAATCGAATCAAACAAACATTAGACCCACTTCGTTCTTTATATAATTCTCGAGATGTTTATCATAAATATAATAATATGCTTAAAACTTTATGGACATGCTGTCCTCAACAAAGAATTTATATGTTTGACATACGAAATAATTATTATGTTATTATGGGAAGAAATGATTGTCACAATTTCATTCGAGAAAATCGAACTCGTCTCACGAGACAATGTCAAAACAATTTAAAATTATATGATCCAACACGTGGAGATATGGGCAGTTGTGATGGTCGTCTACTTCGTAATCTTGCTGATAAATGGAATTTTGTAGTAGAATTATCAAATTATACTGAACAATGGTGTATCGATGGTCTTTATTCCATGCTCATATATTCTGATATAAATCAAATTTTACCATGTGAAAGAGCTATTCGTCAAGGATTAAGAAAAGATCCACAATCATATACTATATATGATAATCTTAGTAGGAATATACTTAATTCATATGTACAAAATTTACACAATTATCGTAATTGTAGTGATCCGTATTTTTGGGAGAAAGAAAGCGATGAAGAAACTGATACATTAATGACAATGATCGAGTATCGAAGATAAATATTGTAGATGTGACCTTCATCTATATCTTTCTTTCATCGCATAATTCTATCGACATGTTAGTGTACTCAAATGTTTTAACATTTCTTTTTTTTCTGTTCTATTCTTCTTATGTCTATATGTGTGCCTCTTCTCTTTTCTGTTGTATATATGAGTGAATTGCAAGTTTATTCTACCGTTGTATTCTTGAACGTAAAATTTCAATATCTCAAGTTCTAGTCAACCAATCCTTGTTATTTATTTACCATATGTTCTACTAAGATATCCTTAGTACCACACAAAAAAAATCACGAAATTATCTTGAATGAGACGTGAGGTATTGTCTGCACAAAACTCAAAAGTTCAATATTTGCTCCCATCTATTGGACAAAAAGTCGTATGATCAATTTCTTACTTATCATTAGAATTTTGATAGTTGTTGATATTTACAGTACACAGTCTACACTTCTCGGATAGAAGAGTCATTCGTTCTTTCGAAGTGTTTTTTATTATAGTTTCCTCGAAATACCATGCGTACATACAACTCTCAATTTGCTTTCACACGAGATTGAAATTCATTTTGGAACACAATGATTCGTCTAAAATTGATCAGGTTGCTGTTAAATAAGAGACATTTGATACTATTTAAATTTACTCAAAACAATCAGAGAATTGTTCTACTCCTCGCTGAGAAAAAATAAAAAAATGAAACTAAAGTATTTAGATGACACACAAAGTATATTTTGTTTGTAGCGTAATTCACGTATACTAAGGCATATCGCAACGAAACTTTAGCCATTTTATTCACTCATTGTGCTCAACTATTGATCAAAATATCAAAGCCACATATTTTGTCTATCGCGAGAAACAGTAAAAATATCGCCACTATATCACGCGACATTATTCATCCTTCAAACATAAAAACGTGCTTAAGGAAACAACGTGACTCACCAGATTACACATAAATACGACGAAAACTACAAAGATTTTTTTGATATATTTCGTAAAATTGTATATAAAATGTCTTCATATATATACGCAAAAAAGGCATATTACAGCGTGTTTTATAGGATTTTAGGGATTTTCATATATCTCAGCAACAGCCTTCATGGTAGTCGAAAAACTTTCGTCATATTACTTTCTCACATAGTACTTTAAGATGCACTACTTATTACCTGCAAAATCAAAAGTTTATTTTTCGCCAATTTTTTTCTCAAACAGTACAATAAACTTGTAATTCACTCATATTTAGATATGTTTTCAACTAAAGACAAGTTCTTTTTAATGGAATACAAACTATATTATTTTACTATCTTTAGTGTATGGGTGAATGTTTTAACCAACAACCCACACCCTCAATGTATTAATAATCATTACAACAATTAACATATTGGAACTTGATTTCCATCGATCGATTTGACGCAACGATCGATAATTACTAACCAAAAGGGAACATGATTCTAATCTTGTTGTTTGTTGCGTCAATAAAAAGCGCGCGAGACTTGAAACCAATTGTCATGTGAATCGTAAAAGTAATTCCATTTGTATTTCATGTCGCTGTTGGACAAAGCGTTGGCTAATTCAAGGAAAGAGCTGAGAGGAGAGAAAAAGAGTTTGATAAAAATCTTCTCCTAAGTTTTCAACATAATGGATTTTGCCTAAAAGAGTATAATCAGTCGATTTGATCTATTGAAGTTGATCTTATGGATAAATAGCTCTAATTTCAGTAAAGAATAATGATTACCTTATATTATATTAATCAGAATGAGATAGATAATGACCATACTTTAGAGATTCTTCTTCATTATCAATATATTAAAAAATAATCGATCTTCTAACCAGAGCTGCCAACAAGCCAACTGATATTTGTAATTATTGAAATCGATTGAATTGTATAAGTTAGGATTGATGCACAATTTCAGTTCTATTCATTTAACATTTTTATGACGATGCTAGAGAGTAAATATTTACATATCTTGAAACCGAAGATTTTCTTACACACAAAGTATTATTCGAGGAAAAAATATTGCGACCTATAGTGAAAATTTTTTAATACTATTTTGATACATATGCTCATGCACTCAGGGGATATCTGGAGTCAAGTGAAGCCTTGTCAAATGCTTGAAAAAAGTACAAATAGGAAAGTTAAAACAAAGAGACAATCATCGCGAATATTTTTCATAAAAGAAAGACCTAAATTACTGAAATTTTTTCATAATTCACAAAAAAAGATTCAAATCGTTTCTCAGCCAGGCTGACAGTTCTGTTTCCTATAAAGACGCGCAACAATCATGTAAAACAACTGTACATATAACATAAACATTGCAATCCTACAATATATGTACATAAATGCCATTTTTTATTCAAATAAAGTTAGTTTTTCTTCTTTCTACTATATATATACCCCTGAAACTAACCGTTACTTAATAATTTATTTATTGTCTTATTCAATATACCAAACAAAATTTAGTTTTACGATCGCAAGACAATACAATGATTCATTTCTACTTCTTTTTTTAAATACTATTACCATATTCTTTGATCAATCATGTGCTTTGTAGATAATGTCAATTGAGCTTGATATTTTCGTATGTCGATTTTTTTTCCATCCGTCAACATCTTTGAATAAGATTGAAACGCGTCATGACAGTTCTTTTTTATACACACTCATATCCACACCCTCAAGATATCAACAAATATTAAGAGACTTCAAATCTTTTGTTTTAAACAATACATAAAATGAATGTTAATATTCTGAATAATATTAATTCATACGTATTATATTATTATAAACTTCTACTTGTTTGTTTTAAGGTCCACATATTTCTAATACTTTCATATTACAAGTCTGTCAGTAAAAGAAATTGTGCAGGTATAATATAAAGAAAATATAAAAATATATTTCTTACAAAGAAACTGAATCTTTTTTTATCTTTCCACGCTGTATGATAGAGAAGAAATAATTCATAAATATTATTCGTATATACATAATACATATAATATAGTTAGTATTCTTTCATCATAACTCCAACTGGATTCTTCTTTTCAAATAGTATTATGACACTTATAAGCTTAATTACGCTTTGTGATAATAAATTATCGATTGTTTCTTTACAGTACAATGCGTTGGAGCGATACGAAAAAGTTAATTTGGATATGCGTCGAATTCGACAGACACTTCAACCATTTCATTCGACATAATCAAAATCAATTATCCAGTGACTGTTGAGAAAATCTCAAATTATTTAATCCAGAACGTGGAGATATTCCAGTGTGTGATGGTGGTTTACTTCGTAATATTGCTGATCAATATTCTTTCGTTGTACAATTATCGAATTATAGAGAAAAATATTGTAATCATGCTTTTCCTTCATTACTCATTTACTTCAATATTTCTCAAAGTAGGAACATACTTGATGTTTATGTACAGAATTTAAGCAAATATTATAATTGCAACGATCTCAAATTGCTACAAAGTGAAGATATTAAACAAGACCTATTTCGAAATTATAAGTTTGAATAACAATAAATAATCTAAGTCATTTTGAGAATTTAATTATCATGTATATCGCTTTGTCCAAATTAACCTGTTAACTGTTAAATTTCTATATGAGAACATAAGTGAGGATAAGGATCTGATATGAACAAGCACGAATAGGACACCAATTTTCACATCCTCACAATAATGTTAATTAAACAGTATTGATCTTCAACTTTTCCTTAGTATCTATTGCGTTGGTTAGAATGAATAATTTCTTTCTATTGATTACATAAAACTGATCAATATTATTCATAAGCATAGAATCTTGATGTTGAAGGATTCTGCTTTAGCTTTATATTATTCCACTTTCAAATTCTTAATAAGTAAAAATGTTTATCGATACTTGTCAATTACAAGAAAATTTGAAAAAAATCTATTCTCATCAATTTTATTAAATAATGGGGAAACTAAACCTACATGAAGAAGATTATTTATCAATACATATTTTTATTATATAACAATGGATTGACTATCTCTATCGTCGAGTACAATAAAATACAATATACATATATATACGTACATTACATAAATTATCGAACAACAAGTTCATCTACATTTTAAATATTGAGTACATTTTGTATTTTAGTCAATGAAACAATTAAAAACCATTTCGTTATCCTTACATATAGTTGTTGTCGATGTTTCGCTTTAGTTTGGGAGAAAAAAATCAATGTTACAATATGAAAAAATAGTGTTCTAAGAGAAATATTTTCAAAATAATTTTTCTTCCCTACAAGCATTGTTTGTTGCGAACATTGATAACGACAAGAGTTCTCTTTCGATATTTCTTCTCATGACTGGATTTTATTATTGAAAGTTTCATTTCAACAAATAAATAATTACAAGTCTCTTGTTTTTCCTATCTGATTCTATTGAATAAAAGTCATTCTTCATACATCTTCCATACATATGAACAGTTTAGTTGAATCTCTAATTTTATTTAACCAAATTCAACGATATTCTTATACAAATACATTTGCATTATCTTTCGTATTGATGAGTCATAGAAGAATTATCTACATACGAGCTAAAACGAGAGAACAAGAACGAGTCTGGCGTATTAACCCTCACAACAATGACAAACCTTTGACGAGAAAATCAGAGAGAAAGATAAAGAAATAAATATATTATTATGAGAAACAGAATAGAAGTTATGTATACAACGATAATACAACATTTTCTGTTAGGCCATTTATCTTGATTTGTAGCAATGAATTCTTATGAAAACTTACTCACATGGATTCTTCTCATTTCTACAGTTACTTTCAGTAGAACAAGTAGTTGTCTTCCTGGAGTTATTGGTACTTGTGGATGTTGTGATTCAACAAGAACAACATGTATTGAAATACCATACAATATTTTACCATTTGTTACTCCAAACTATATGTGTATTTCAAATGAAATAATAAAAACTTTCTCATTTACTCTTTGTAATTGTACATTAAAAGATCCAGCTCTTTGCTTATGTTTCAATCGTACACAATCGTTTCCAATCTATGAACAATGTGATTCATTTACAGAATGTGCCATTGCTGATATTCGTGTCAAAGCGAAACATGAAATTGACAGTAAAATTTTGTCGTTTTACATATTTTTCTTCTTATAATTCACGTTATTGTTCTTGTGTTTAGATACATTATGTAATAGACCTATACGGACTGGCCGCTGCTCATATCGTTATACGAATCGATTTTACTTTGATTTTCACCATAATTTGTGCAAGGAATTTATGTATAGCGGTTGTTCTGCTAATCGTAAGACATTTCTTACGCGAGAATTCTGTGAACATACATGTCAATTTTAATATTAGTAGAATAAAACATTGTTAATAAATTTCTGAGGCTGCGGAGTGGGTATGGGTCTTCTGTCTGTTATCTCTCATACCCACACCCATCCACCCACTGACACCTACCCAACCTCAAAATATTGTATTTTTCAATAAAGTTGTGATTATTCTAATTAACATTTATATATTAATCAATCAATCTTCAGATATTGAAAAAGCAAAAAATATGAAGAGAAATGGTAACTAGATTAAGAAAAAAATGTTCGTCGGATTACGTGTGGTGATAAATCAATACTATTAATAGTTTTTATTCTATTTTTTACGTAAGTTTATTTTTTTTTCTTATTTGCATAAGTCATAATATTTTATTCTTTCTAATTATTTTTAACAAAATATATTTTTGTCATATCTTCTTCTCCTATGAAATATTAAACATGATTGTATTTCTATTTCAAATTTTATTTCAATAATATTTGACAATAATCAATTGATTTTTGCATGCGAAAAATATTCTTGTAATTTTAAACGGAAGGTAAACATCATTTACCCATGTTAACCATTCCGGCTGTCAGGAAGGGCGTCTGAAACGACTATAAAACGGCGCTTTACTGCCTTATTTTTAGTCGCATTTCACCGTAATTCGTCAACTCAGAATACGGGCCGTTTTTTTACTAGAAACCGGCCGTCGTTTTTCTCCTTATTTCTATACATTTCTAGATCGACAGATTACGGTGACGTTTTGAAGTTATATTTTACCGGGTTTCTACCGTTTACGGTACCGTTGTCTTTGTCTTGTTTAAAAATTCGTCAAGATAATCTTGATAAGTTTTAACAAGATGAAAATATTTAATTATTGGTTGTTCAAAATGATGATTATGTTGTGGTTCATAATTATGTATAGTTGATTTTGTAAGAAATGAAAACGATTGAGCAATACGAAAAAAATCATGTTCGAATGAATTTTCATTATATAATGTAATTTTACGAACCGATTTAAATAATCTACCTTGAAAATTATTTGATAAATAATGATATAATTTCGAGGTATACAGATATGTATAGACATGATAAAAAACTAACTGTGCTCTTTTAAAATAATCAATACTTGAAAAAATTTCATTGTTTTTAAAGTTTCGAAATGAACATTTAATGTCATTATTTGATGGTAAATCATGTTAACCATTTCGGCTGTTGGAAACGGCGTCTTAAGCGGCCTGAAACGACTATAAAACGGTGTTTTAGTGTATTCTTTTTAGGCGTATTTCACCGCAATCCGTCGCCCCGGAATACGGACTGTTTCTTCAATAGAAATTGGCCGTCATTTTTTACCTTTATTGCTATACATTTCTGGGTCGGCGGATTACGGCGACGTTTTAGAACCGTTGTCACCATATTTTATCGGTTTTCTACCGTTCAAGGCCGTTATCTTTGCCCTGCGTAAATGCTGTTGAGTATTAAAATGAGCTAATGATCCGATATTAAAAATGAATTTCTTTTCCATGATATGTCCATCGATTATTGGATAATTAATTTTTAATAATTGCACATGGAGTTCTTCTAAATTTATCATTCAATATAAAAGTCATATCAGATCATAATCGAAGCTTAATAATCGATTTTTGTATATTATCGAAAAACATTTTATATTGAAAACTGGAATCTACAAAATAAATTGATATTAGTATATATTCATGTAAAACAAGACATTGACGATCAGCTTACTTCTGCATGATCATTTGATGGTAAATCAGTCGAACTATAAACGATAATATAATATTTTTCTAGTTGACTAAAACTTCCATCTAGTATATAAAGACAATCATTAAAACAATTAACTACAATGTGTAATTCAGTTATATTTGATGAAAAAGAAATAAAATCTTTCAAATCAAATATTAATTGTAAATTATTCATAAATACATAGAAATATAATGATGTTAAATTTTCAAACATTGTGCAACATTTTATAAATAAGTCTTGAAATTTTTCTCTATATTCAAGTATATTATCAATACCATTTGTATCAAATATATTATTTTGTTGTAATGATTTACTTGATTTTACCAGGAGCTTCTTTAATTTTTGATAATATGCTTCGGGTATAATTTCTAATGTTAATTCATCAACATTAATAAATTCAGTATTCGGCATTGTTGATATGATTCTAAGAAATTTTCTAAAAACTTTATCATCCCAGGTCGATGATTACGAACTTCGTAAACGATTGAATACGACCGTAACCGGAAAAAATACGACCGTATTTCACCGTTTTTTGCCGTATTACGATCGTATGCCTCCGTACCGTATACGGACAAGTATGATTGTTTACGGAGAAAGACGGTCGTAAAAGATCGTATTTTTCCGTTTACGGCACAGAGACATACGATCGCAATACGGCCTCAGGTAATACGGTAAAATACGGTCGCGTGCGGTCGTATTTCTCCGTATACGACCGTTTACGATCGCGCTTGTTTGGCCTGGGATGATATGATGATGTTGTGTCGTATCCTGTTAATGTTATTTCTTTTTTCGAGAAATGTTCATTGATGATCGAGTTTAATCTTATATTTGTATCATAAAAACAATTAACAATATCATAAATATTTAAATATTTTAATAGATTTATTATTATTTCATTAGGTAAATCGTTTATGTTGGAACATTGCTGATTCATGTTGACTTTGTAAAAAGTTTTCTTTTTTTTCTTTGAAGCTTATATATATATATATATCTGTGTCTAGTTTAAAACAAAGACGCAAATATATCCAATAATAGCAAATGGGCTATGATTTATTTGCTTCTTTTTGACTCGACTTGATATAAATTTAATTAAGTTTGTAGAGAAAATTGTTTTTTATCGATCTGTCTTTGGAGATTTTTCAAAAAATAACAAGTAACGAGAAAAAACATCAAATATTATAGTGACCTCTTTTTTTTCTAATTTAGAGCATGTTCAAATTTGACTGTTCTTACAATATTAACTGAATTATTAATTTATTCGAAATTTATTGATAATTCATTTCTTATTCCAATTTTCAAACGAATTAAACTAATCGAAACAACATTTGAAGATGTTTATTTTCCTTCAAGTTTTTCAATGAA